CAATAATGAATTCAATTTTGTCTTTGTTGAGTTTGAGGTACCTATAGAGCGTGGCAATTTTCAGTAGCTGATTGCTGGAATCTGGAGGTACAAATGCTAAATAGAGTGGGAAACAGGTAATGTTAACTTTGACAAGTATATAAGACTACAGAGAGGAGAGCAAGAAAAAAAGAGAGTGTGTAGTATGTGTGTTAACGAAATGGGTAGAAAAGCCAGCAAAAAAGAATGGTCAAGAAAGTAGGAGGGCCAGGGATTTAGCTTAGTGGTGCCACTGCCTGCCTCACAACTGCAAGGTCCTGAGTTTGATCCTCGTACAAAAAAGAAAGTCGGGTGTGAAGTTGGACGTGGTGGCACACACCTGTAATCCTAGCACTCTGGAGACTGAGGCAGGAGGATTGTGAATTTGAGGCCAACCTAGTGTACTTAGCAAAATCATCTCAAAAAGAACATAGGAAATTAGATGAGAAATCATGCAAAAAGCTTGAGATGACAATATTATTTAATTACTGTGCTCTTTTGAATCAATCAATTTTGAACTACATAGAAATAGCAGTGATTTCTCAGAATTTGAACAGAGCCTTCACTGAAGTGCCTATTGTAGTTCAGCAATGAAGATACCATAAAGAGGTACTAGGGATGAGAAGTCTTTCTCAAATATACTTAGAAACTAATTTCTATTTTCCCTTCTAGTGTTTCCTTCACCATTGTATTTATATACTCTTGCTTTCAGTAATACATAATTCTTGCATACTTTATCTTGTTCCTCTTCTAAGTTATTCTTATTCCATCTCTCACTCTCCTCTGCCCCCAGATAACAAAAAGGCCATTCTTTTCCTGCAAAATTTAATAGGCTAGCTACATTCCAATGAACTCATTGAAAGAAGCAGAAGCCCTACCTCGGTCTAAAAATTTCTCAGAAGTTCCAGTTATTTATCATTTTTTTTTTCCTTACTTCTTATCCTTTCTTCTGTTATTTCTTCGTTCTATAGCATTTACCTGTATACTTCAGCACAATACTGTGGAAATACATGGTTTTTTGTTTTTCTTTTTTTTCAATTATGTGTTAAGCTGGTATTTGTATAATTTTTTGCTAAATTAAATATTTTGGAGTGTTTTAAGCAAAAAGATTTTTACAAATGCAATATATTTTGCTTTAAGCATCTCAGTGGGAGAAACCTGACGGATTTCAAGGAAACTTAAAAAAGGTAACAAGTGTATTAGTAGTGTTTTACTTTATTTTTTAAAGTGATTGTCTTCTGGGGTTTATGTAAGCAGATCTACTTCCAAGTAAGCCCTTTCCCTCCCCTATCCTTTCTTCCTGTAATCCTTTTGTTACAGGCCTGGGTAAAGATAAAACCAGTGATATCTATTCAAAAACCCCATCCATGTAAATATTAATTGCTTTATAGTCCGTTGGCCATCCTGATGTCCCTGTCCATCGGCAAGGGATTCCTGGCTCTTAAAAGTGAAACGTTCTCTACTTGAATGTCTGCACATGATTACCACAAACCAGCCAATATTGCTGTCACAGTCCCCAACTTCCAGATGTCAGGTGGAAAGGAATGGGTTGCTTAGTTATTCAATATATAATTGTTAACTTCAGTTTACTGCTTTTTTTCCTCCTATTAGATGAAGGCCATTTGGGTAGAAGGTTTAAGTGAAGATGGTTATAACTATTATTATAATACAGAAACAGGAGGTAAGTGTTATCTTTGATTGTCTTAACTATCAAGTATCCTTGCAATTGCTTATTAATCTGCTGGGGAATCATCTGAATGTGAGAACTTTAGCATTAAACAATTCCTTAGCAAGCATATATTATTTTTAAGTTAAAACATTACTGCAATAAAAACAAAGATTTGTCACATTTTGTATGTAGCATGCAGTAATGGTGTTCTGAATTTATATAGCATGTGCAGATTTGAGAGACTCATTTAAACCAATTACTGGTTTTATTTTATTATTTTATAAATATAATTTTCTGGGAGGTACCTCGTAGATCACCCAATTCAACTTTTATTGTTGTTGTGGAGATTAAACCCAGAGCCTCATGCTCGTTTTACCACTGAGCTATACCCTGCAAAGCTTCAACTTTTTCCTTTTTTAAAAAACAAAACTATGGGCTGGGGATTTGGCTCAGTGGTTCTACTGTGTCTGTTTTGCAAGCACAAGGGCCTGAGTTCGATGCCCAGTACCCCAAAAAACAAAACAAAACAAAAACCTAGCTGGGGATTTAGCTCAGTCGTTTTGCCTCCTGTCTCATTTAAGTGCAAGATCCCGAGTTCGATTGCTGGTACCAAAACACAAAACTGAAGCTATTTTAGCAGTGGCTAAAATTGTCATATTTCCACTTTAACTAATTAAATGTTTCCGTTACATAAATATTTGTGAAACATGCATTGTTACTAACTGAATTTTTCAAATTAATGTTTTTATCTAATTTCACAGAAGTTTAAAAAATGTGCTTCATTTCTTACTGCAATTAAATTTTGCTACATTATCTATATAATATTAATATAACTTGGGGAAGGGTTTTTATTTCAATTCTTAATATACAGACTGGGTGTCGTGGCACATGCCTGTAATCTCAAGCACTCGGGAGGCTAAGGCAGGAGGATTCCTTTGAGTTCAAGACCAGCCTGGGCTACATAGTGAGTTCCAGGTCAGTCTCAACTACATAGTGAGACCCTGTCTCCAAAAAAAAATAAATAAATAATTCTTAATATACAAAACCTTCTCCATAGCATTAAACGTAACAGTATTTCTCTTTCAGTACAGTTAAACACTGAGTCTTTAATATAGTACAGTATAGTTTTAGAATTAGAGCTAAGTTCATTCAGTGCACAATTTCTCTTACCAATGATGTGATTGTGGACAAAATAGGTATCAGTCAGTTTACCAAAACAGTACCTGGTACATTGGACTTAACAAATTATTTGTGTCTTAAATTCTTTTTTGTTACTTGTGTGAAATTTAGACGAAGAAAAGTATTTTTCATTAGCACCTGCATGTATTACGGGTGTGTAATATTGAATGATTTGGGCTTATGCCTGCAAAAATCTAATTATTAATAGCAATTTCTTTTACTCTTAAAACCATCTCCTCCAGACATTAAATTGTTCAGTCTCCCATTTATTAAGTTAAAAATACAGACACATATACCAGACAATTAGACAAGCTTTCATTTTACTAAAAACGCTGTGAACCACTAGATGGCAGTAGAATTCAATTGCAGTTTATTTCCCCAATAAAAATGACATTATATTCATTCACATCTTCATATGATTTTACTTTGTGAAAATCCCAGAGAAATCTTTGTGATAATACAGTCCAAGAAATCCCATCAATTTCATTGTGTTTCTTGAAATTATTGTCACATAAGTTGTGAGAGTCCTTAAAATATCACCCCATATATATGAGTTATAGTTTATACAGCTAATAAATAAATCTGGGTTTGTAAATTGAAATCAATTTTGAAAGATAAAAGTCTGAGGTTTGAGGTTTATCTTCTTGATCAAGTATTAGTGTGAAGTGAATACAGTATTATAGAGGTCACAGTAAAAAAATATTACAATGTAGGTTATGCCCATATTGAGAGAAACACTCATTACTAGTATTGCTGAAATGCAAAAAAAATAAAATAAAAATAGGGCCTGGGATTTAGTTCAGTGGCACTGCACCTGCCTGACAAGTGCAAGGTCCTGAATTTGGTCTCTGGTACCAAAAAACAAGAAAAAATAAATTTAAAAACAAAAAAGTGGCCAAACTAATAATCTAATGTCAGTTAAGTACAGATGCATAGCTAGTAATGATCTTGAATTTATGCACCTGATAGATGTAACAATAAGTGTTTCTGTCTCTCATCAATGATCTAAGGTTTAATAATTGTAAATGATATAATAAAATATTTGAATTAAGTCAGGCATGGTGGCAGTTGCTTACTATAATCTCAGCACTCAGGAGGCTGAAGAAGAAGAATCACAAGTTCAAGGCCACCTAAACTACATGGTGAGGCCCTGTCTCCAAAAAAACAAAAAACAAAAAGTATTAGAATTGGTCAGTAAATACCATGACTATTCAAATGTGTTGAGCAGGATCCAAATGGGAAAAACCTGTATCTCAGTTCACTGACCTCCTAAGGGTTAATAATTATAAATGATTGAAAGCGTCAACAGTTGGTGAGCAAATAACATGACTGTTAAAAAATTTGTTGAGCAGAGTCCAAATGGGAAAAACCAGATGATTTCATTCCACACACTGGCAGTTTGCTTTCTAGTAAGGCTAATGAAAAGTCACTTGGTACCGTAGAAGAATCTGAGTCATCACATAGTGAATCTGATGGAGAACAAGAAGCAAAAGGAGAAGTCTCTACAGAAACAAAACAGCCAAAAATAAATTTTAAGGTAGGTTCTTGAGTTCCTTATCACAAAAATTTATCCATTTATATGGAAATTCTATAGACTTTGGGTCTTCTGGTATAAGATAGAAATAAAGCCAGGACATGTTGGACCATACCCTCCCCCATCCTTGATTTTTATTTTCGTGGATTTAATTACCCATGCTCAACCAAGGCATGAAATTATGAAATGGAAAATTCCAAAAATCATTTTAAATTACCTGCTTTTCTTAGTAGTGTGATGAAATCTCTTATTTATAATTTTTCCATTTTATTAACATTGTAAATCTCTTACTATGCCTGATTTTTAAGTTGAACTTTATCATAGGGATGTATGTATAGGAAAAAATACAGTATCTGTAGGGTTCAGTACTATGTGGTTTCAGGCATCAACTGGGGATTTTATATATCCTCAAAGATAAGAGGGGCCTGGGCCTGGGATTTGGCTCAGTGGTTCCTTTCCTTGCAAGCTCAAGGGCTAGAATTCAATAACCGGTACCAAAAAAAAAAAAACACACAAAGATAAGAGGGCCTGTCTTATTTTGGCAGCTGGATAAATGGTTGTACTGTTTACTGAGAAATAAGATACTAATTTCATTTTAGGCTTTGTAAGTTTGAAAGTCTATTTTTTCCTTTTTAAATGCTTGACAGATTAAACTTCAAGCACAAACAAATGATTGAATAAGTCTGTGGTTCAAAGTGTTTTGGTCCTATGCAATAGACAGGCTTCAGACAAATACTTTTTAGGATAGTAGCAAAGGAATGCTTAAAGGTGATTCCTTTTGGAAGGTTGTAGTCTAGAGACCAACAAACTCAAAACACAAGGAGAAATTAAAAGTATTACAGATGGCAATGGGGTTGGATAAGAGGTATAGGAGTAAGGGAGTCAGAAAGCCAAAAGAATTAAGAACTACTATACTTAGAGGAAGGACTTTGGTTTTTAAGATTTCATGGATAGGACATTTCCAGTGCTGACCTAGTTCAAATTTTTAAAAATGTAGGGTGTAAGGATTTAATATCATAGTGCTATGTGCCTGATGCTGTATATGAGAAGACTTGTACTAGATGGCTGAAGCATAATGAAGGCCAAAGTCATTGGTTTTGAGGCTGACAAAACTAAAGCCAGGTAATTTTTAAGCTTCCTAACGATGATAGCAGGAGTTTGAATAGGAAGAAAAATTGTACCGGTGTTGCCAGAATAATCAGTGAATATAGAGTATTGGCCAGAGGTCATTGGTCATGCAAGAAAGGAGAACAGTACAGAAAGTGGTATGATTATCAGAGATCTTTAATGCATAAAGATTAGAGTCAAAGTATCATGAACTTGTACCTCAGTAAAAATGTTTTATTAAGAAACTCATGTCCTGGAAGCTGACAAAGTGGATGCTACCCCCTAGTTCTGTGATAGCAGCTGCATGACAGCCAAGCTAACATCCATTCACATAATAAGCTCAGTGGTGCCACACCTGCCTGGCAAGCACAAGATCCTGAGTTTGATCCCCAGTACTGAGGAAAAAACACAATTACAAAAGAAACTATCCCAGGCCAACTACTTATTGTTGTACAGTTTACAGAGACATTTAAATCCACTTTGTGGTCCACTTGCTGATCTGGGTTACAAGTGTTTTTTATTCCAGATGAACAGATGCCATAAAGTACCTGCCCTACTCAGGTACTTGTATGGGGTTGCTTCTTTCCCAGGGAATGTCTTTCTAATTTGCACAAAGATGTAGTTGTATAGGCCAGTGAGGTGTTGGTGGTGTCCTGAAAGTGGATTTCAGTTAAGACTAACAGGTACAAGGAGTTCTTTAAAATAGTAATAGCTGTTGAAGGGTCTGATGATATGCCATCAAATACAAAAGAGGTGCACTGTAGAGAGAAGTCACTGTTGAATATGTAATTGGGATAAGAAAACAGAAAAATAGCGGGCCAGGGTTTTAGCTCAGTGATGCCGCCACCTTCCTCGCAAGTGCAAGGTCCCAAGTTCAATCCCCAGTACCAAAATAAGAAAAAGAAAGAAAACAAAAAAATAGCTTGCATATTTACATGTCCTTAATTGTACAACTCATAACATTAACAGGATCTTGTTATATTACTTTAAAATACACAGCATTGGATATAGTGAATTAATATTTTAGATGTAATAAAAAACCTAATCAAGCATTAAAATTCTTCTAATGTACAGATATCTCAAGGAAAAAGTAAAAATAGCAATGAAAGAACTGTCCCAAAAATACAGAAAGAAAAAAGTGTCCAAAAACAGACTTCATCAGGCCTAAATGAAGAAAAATCCAAAACTTTGAAAAAATCAAACCCATATGGAGAATGGCAAGAAATTAAGCAAGAAGTTGAGAATGAGTGAGTACTTGAAAGTTTAATCTACTGTTATTACAAAGATTATACAATGGACCCTCGAATTACAATCAGCCTGACATATGAACAACTTGGATTAGGTCCAGAATTTTAGTTTTAATGACCAAAGTTTTTAGTTACAACCCAAATGCCAGCCCATTGTGCTTCCACATGGTCTCAGATATACATTTATCCCTTAAAGAGTTCTGAAAGGAACAATACAGCATCCTTTCCTATGTGGGGTTAATCGAGAGATCCTGGGCCAATGTCTCTCTAATGACACTGAGATCTGTGTGGAACAAACTGGCCTAAAATTAGACAGGAGAGAGATTTTAAAGGCAGTTGACCAACTTGAGTTAGAATTGGCCCTCACAAATAGAGTTTGTTAGTCAAGGGACCCACTTTACACCGCAGTTCTTTCACAACTTGTAACCACTGATTTCAAGGATGTTATGCTCAGTAAAATAATAATTTTCTTGTATTTCTAGAGTGTTTTTTTATTTTTTTATAATTAAATATTTTTAAAAGATTACCTTGAAAAGTAAGCTTATGATTTACTACAATTAAGCTAAGGTAAGCCTCATTCCTATGAAAACTTCACTTTTTTGATAAATTTTTATTGGCATATATTTGCAGTACATAATGATTACATTCCTCCTGGGAAATTGGTACATGTATATAACACATCTTAATTATTTTTTCATTTCCTTCCTCCACTCCTTCCCCTCTTCTATCTCTTAGTCCTCTTTCCTTTTGCAAATGATCTGTCTCCCATATTAATTCCATTCCCTTCTTTGCCCTCCCCCTCCCAGATAGGGATGGAGGGTTTGGAGGGAGGGCAAGGGAATGGGGGAAAAATAAGAACCAAGACAGATTATGTAAAGGTGCAACTTTCCAATGATGAATGTCGTTACATTGTATACCTTAAATGTACCAAAAATTAATTTTAAAATATCTTTTTCCCTGTATCCTACCATGTTTTATTTACCTCTTTATAATTTGTTTCTCATGCACTTAACATGGTCTCAAAGTGCATCTGTTTTCCTACAGGTGACTCTTTATGGCACAGTAGTATTCATAGTATTATAAAACCACATAGGCCACTTCCTAAGATTAAGCTATTATGAGTAGTTTTACTATGAACATGAGTATGCATGTATCCTTATAATATGGTGTCTTTAGCTCTTTTGGGGAGATACCTAGAAGGGAAATATCTGGGTCAAATGAAATTTCCATTTTTAGCTTTTTGAGGAATCTCCATACTGATTTCCATAGTGACGGTATGTATATTACATTCCCACCAACAATGTAGAAGGATTCCTTTTTCCTTGAAGTCTTGCCAGTATTTGTGTTCTTGATGATAGTCATTCTTTCTGGAGTAAGGTGGAATCTGTTATTTTAATGTGTATTTCTCTAATGTCCAATAATAACATTTTCATGATATTTATTGGCCATTTGTACTAGTGCTTCAGAGACATGTCTATTCATTTTAGTTGCCTATTTTTTAATTAGGTCTTTTATTTTGGGGTGTCATTTTTTCCTTTAGTTCTTCATATATTGTAAAAAATTAGTCTTGTTTCTAAGGGATAGCTGGCAAAACTTCTTTCCATTCTGTAGGTTATCTGTTTGCTCTTGGTGTCTTTAGCTATGCAGGACCTTCTTAATATGATCCCATTTATTGATTCTTGATGTTACTTCTTCTGCAACTGAGATTCTGTTCAGAAAGTTTTTGCCTGCATCTGTGTCCTCAGAAGGTTTACAAAAACGATTTTATTGTCTAGCAGATAGTTTCTATTTTAAAATTTGGATCTTTGATTCATTTGTGATTTTATTTTAGTACATGGTGGGAGATATGGGTCTACATTACAGAGTATTTCTATAGACAGCACACATGAAACTACTTCTTTAAATGGGCTTTTGAAAGAAAAGTTTATTCCAGTAATCAGACTAAAATCAGGGACCAAACCTCATTTTTATATAACTCATTTACCAAAAACTTAGCATTCTAATTCACATCACAGAATTATCTTATTTTTAAAAAATAAATACTTTCTTAAATGTGTGTTGCTTATGGAGGCTTAAAAAAAATAAATAAAATCAGGGACCAAAATCAAGGATAGATTGTAGCAGCTAGCTGGGAAAAGTCAAGTTTATTACATCCATTTGTGGATAGGCAGACATTAGGAAAGAGTTAGTAGTCACTACCTGGGAAACGAATTAAGCTTAGGCATTGAAGGGGCTAAGGAATCTGGGGGTGAAGTGTTTATAATTAAGCCCAACGACATTCAGCACAGGTGTGTAGACAATCACTGGACTTTTACAGCACTGGGAAGATTGTCTTCTGTTTACTGAGGAATAGCCTGTCATTTGCTGAAAGTGGCCTGTTTGCTTGTGGAGATCTCATTTAAGCCAAGCATGACAAGTATATATTTTCATTTCCTGATATCCTCTTTGACATCCTTTTTCAGAATACTGTAGTCAAAAGTTGACATTTTGAACATATTCTCATACTCACCATGAATATGTGCGATCTTACTCTCATTCTATCAGAAAAATAACTTTGTAGTCGATAGATACTTGGCAGGATGTTTACATATATCATATCTAAAGACAAAGGTTTTGCTTTTTTAATTTTTTTTTTTCTTTTTTTTTTTTTTTTTTTTTTTTTAAGTCAGGGTCTCACTATGTATATAGTTTGGACTGGCCTTGAACTCACTGTGTAGCCCAGGCTGACCTTGAACTCGCAGCAGTCCTCCTGCCTCTGCCTCTGGAGTGCTGGAATTATAGGCATGCACCACCATGCCCAGCCGTGCTTTATTTTGTTGAAAGTGGCTCACTAGTCTATGGCCATATCACCCTGAATGCACCCAATCTTGTCTGATCTCGTTAAGCTAAACAGGGTCAGGCCTGGTTAGTACTTGGAAGGGAAAGTGGCTCACTAACCTTTTTAAGCAATATCCAAAAAACAAATTTGCTATCAGTTAAATGAAATCTTGATAAAGATGTTACCTAATCTATTAGTTTATTTATTCAAATCATCTATACCATGAAAGGAAGATGTCACTCCCAATTTTAGATTTCAGTGTTTCTTCAATGCTTAAGAAACCCTTCTGGTGGGGAGAAAGGATCAACATGAGTAAAGCAGTTATTCTTTAAAACGTTACAGAATTTAAATGGTAATGTAGGGTGACTGCTTTGCATATACTTTTACAGTGAAATTATTGTTAAAACCATAATGGAAAGATCGTATTTTTCCTAAAATACACCATACAAACATCACACAACTCTATATCCAATTATAATTGATTGCCTGGTTTGGCATATTATGATGAAATGTTTAAGTTGTATTTATGTTCATGAATTACTGGAAAATACGTATAAATGCTACATAATACCAGTTACTAAAATAAGCATGTTGACTCTGTATATTGAAGTTACAGAAATAATAAACTTCTCCATTACTGAGCTCTTACATGACTTAAAACAGCTGGTCCAACTATGTCAGAATCTCCTTTACTTCATAGTTGAGAGATATATTTTTGATATCCCTGTGGTGACTATTCTGTGAAGACATTCTTAGTAAACTTTAGCCTATTTGGGTAGTTGATTATGCAGTAGATTATTTCTGACCATATTATTTTTTGTTTGGAGTTTTTGGGTGTGTTTTTATTTTTGATTTTTGGGTTCTTTTTTGCTTTTTTGAGACAGGGACTCAATGTATAGTTCAGACTGGTGTTGAACTCACCATGTAGCTGAGACTAGCCTCACTTGTGTCTCCTGCCTCAGCCTCCCAAATGGTGGGCTTAATAGACATACCACCATGCTCAGCTAACCTAATTTACTTGAGGGGAATTTTCCCCTGAAACCCCATAGCAGTACATACTTACTGTAGAAAATGTTTTTAAAATGAAAAGTATAAAAATCATTCACTTTCCCAGAGGTAAAACTAATATTTTGAAGTATTTTATCCAGTTTTTAATCTTTTTCTCATTTTACATTAATATTGCCCTCCTACGTTAAAATTTTATAAAGTACCTGATTGCTATGTAGTATTTCATCTTTCAGATGTATCTTAATTGTATTCAACCATTCTTTTTATGGAATTTATTTTTCCCATTTTTTAATAATGAACTCTTAATTACATGGATGTTTTTCTGTACACATTTTTTTGTTTCTTTGTTTATTTGCTGTTCAGTAGTGGGGATCAAACTTAGGAACTTGTACTTGCCAGGCAGGCATGGCACCATTGAGCCATATCCCTGGCCCCTTGAGCATTTTAAATTATTAGTACCCAGTACCCTATTACTTTCCAGAAAGGGGATACCAGTTCCTTTTTCATGAGCAGTTTTTGGAAGTTCTATCCCTTTAGACACTCTGAACACTTATCAGTAGTGAGCTTTTAATTATTCTTTTAACAATAATTTTATTTTAACTCTCATTACTACTTCAGAAATTTACCTTTGTGTTTATAGTCTTACACTGTTTTTGCAATCCTAGCAAATTTTCTATTCTTATAGTCTTACCATTACCGTAATGACTCTAAGAACCTGAATTTCTAAGCCTGAATTTTTTTATCTATGTGTGTATACAGTGGAATATAAAAAGAACATAGTTCTTTATCTCTGAAGTGTAGTTATTAGGATGCATAGTTGATGAGAGATCACTATTCTCGCTTTGTCAGCTTTGTAAGAAGTATACAGAATCTGCTGCAGTGCTCTTTTCATTTGCAAATTATAAAAATTCTTAAATGTCTGGGGTGCATTGTTTTGAATAAAATTTATAACAAAATTACTGTATTAAGGCACCATATCTGTCTCTTTTATTCTCTTTGAGCTCTGCTTTCCTCTGAATTGATGATCTTCTCAGACAGGCTCTTTCTACCTACTAGAAAAGATCTAAGTTTATGTCACATTTACAGGTAGAAATTCCAGCAAAAAGAAAGTGTTTTTTGCAGATCATCCACAGAAGGAAGATGTACTATGGAGGTCCTCCATGGGGCCTGACATGTCAGGTGAGCAGTAGAAAGGAAAGGAGTAACAGGAGCCTGATCACAGGAGGGCCAAGAAGGGTTTGCCTTCATAGTATTTGAGGTGAGAGCGTGGAGATGTGAATAGAAGAATCACACATGGGCCAGGGATTTAGCTCAGTGGCACCACATCTACCTCTCAAGCACAAGGTCCTGATCCCCAGTACCAAAAAAAAAAAAAAAAAAAGTGACACAATCTCAGCTACACTATAGAAATCAACACTGAACTAAAAGTAGAAATTCCATTTGACTCAGCTATTCCTCTTCTAGGTATCTTCCTGAAAGAGTTAAAGATACATTAATTACAATGATGCGATGCATGCATACCCCTGTTTATAGCAGCATAACTTGTAATGGCTAAATTTTGGAAGCAACCTGTATAAGTAGTAAAGAAAATGCAATTACACATAATGAGGTACTACTCTGTCATAAAGAAAGATAAACCTGATGAATCTGAGTCACTTGTAGGAAAACGGATGTACCTTGAGATCATAATGTTAAGCGAAATCAGACACTCAGATTTAAATATTGCACAGTTTCTCTTACGTGAGACAAATTATAAAGAGCAAAATAAAAGAAATAGGAAGTGGGGAGGTAGATCTTTCTCAAAGGGGAAGGAGATTGTGATGAAAGAAGAGGAGGGAAAGGGGATGCAAAAAGAATTAAGATGTTTTATGTACGTGTACCAACTCCAAGGAATGTAAACACGCCCTGTAGTCATATAGTACTAATAAAAATCCCCAGTAGAAATTTGTGATACAGAGATAGATTTGTCTAATGACCAAAACCCCTGCTACTCTTCACCTAACTCTCTACTGGCTTAGTGGAATTTCTTAGTTTTGCTTGGAAACATGGGACAGGAAGAAGAATACAGGTATGGAGTTAGTGGGCCCTGGAATTTAATCCAAGCTTTACTTAACAGTTTTGCTTGACCAGGTTATTTGGCCCCTCTCTAAGCCTCAACTTCCTCTCTTACAAGAATAAAATGCCAAGAATCAATACCTCTTCAAGTGATGTGGTTACTGTGTTTGTTTGTTTTTTTGGTAGTATTTAGAATTGAATAACTCAGGGCCTTTGCAAAGAGCTACATCCCCAGCCCTTTTAAAAAAAAAAAAATTGAGAATAAGTCTCTCTGAACTGCCTAGGAAGGACTTAAACTTTGAATCTTCCTGCATCATCCTTGCAAAGTGCTGGGAATACAAGCATATATGACCATTCCTGAATGCTAGTGACTTTAAATGTGCCATTGCTGGCAGTATAAGGGAAAATAGGGTAGTAGGACAAATAAAAATGGTACTTAAGAGCCAGGGATTTAGCTCAGTGGCACCATGCCTGCCTGACAAAACTGAAGGTCCTGTGTTTAATCCCCGGTACCACAGGAAATGGTACTTAATGTACACTTTAACACAATTAGGAAAAGTTCTAGAAAGCATCTGTTTTCAAAACAAGTTATGTTCTCCATTACCCATCTCTGCTTTTCTCTGCATGCCAGCTTAATTCTGTACCTCTGCAGAACACCTTTCTCCAAGTAGGATAATATGGCGTTCCCAACAGACTACATTCTGAACCATTAAAGGGAGTTGAACATTATGGTTTTTCTGCCCCATGTTTAAGAATGTCATTGAGGGCCAGGGATTTGGCTCAATGGTTCCACCTGCTTGCAAGCAATCCCAAATTCGATCCCCAGTACTGAAAAAAAAAAAAGAATATTGCTGTTGATGAGTTGATGGGAGTGTATAGCTTACAGTACTTTCTCTTTCATAGACCAATGGACTATCCAGGTTGTATGGTAATAGCATAGGCCCATGTTAATCAGATAACTGATTTCAGGACCAGTCACCCATGTAGATGGTTGAAGAATTAGTTTTTGGAAAAAAGAGATGCTTAGTAGATAGCCATACTGAATTTTCTATGCTAGTACATTAAGAGTCCATGGTTTTCATCCTGTGTTTTATAGCCTCCAGAGTCACTGTCAGTCCATGGCAAAATTAGTTTCTCCCCTTAAAAATTTTTTTTAAAAAATCTGTCCTTTGCTTGTGTCCCTTATCATCTATTAGCGCAAACATTTTCTGAGGTGGTGTCTCTTGTACCACAGAAATAAAAAAGTAGATGGTATTCCCAGTACCAAAAAAAGTAGATAGTGATTTTTTCCTAGCACATATCCACCTTAATAAAACTTGAATATCTTAAATAAAATTGTAAAATAAGTATTTTAAAATAGTTCACTACTGCAGAATGACCACCTTCTAACTTTTCACCATTATTATCATTAGAAAGAAGACCTTGGGGCTTTGGTGACTTATGGGTTACATGCAAACGTGTCTTATTCCGCTGCCTGCCTCGGAAGCAGAAGGACCCAAGTCTGATTCCCCGTACCAAAAAACAAACAAAAATGTATCTTATTCTGTCAAATAATTGTTTTATTTTTGCTTTCTGTTCTAGCGAGGAGGTAGATTTGGAACTTCCAAGCACTGGAAATGAGTCTGTATCACCTTCTGAGGCTGATGCTGTGGAACCCAAAATGGTATTTAAGGAAAAAACAGTCACTTCGCTCGGAGTTGTGGCAGATGGAGTGGCGCCAATCTTCAAAAAGAGAAAAATGGAAAATGGAAAATCTAGAAATTTAAGGCAACGAGGTGATGATCAGTAATGCAAAAGATCTTTTTATACATGCATTTTGGCCATCATGGAGACTTACACCACCTAAAGCTTCTCTTCATTTGTTTTGACTACTTTGATGATGAAAATTTAGATTTATTCTATTTCATGTAAATTAAAATAAATCTTTTTCATGTGGAATTTATTTTTATTCCTAAAATGGAAGCCTACCACATTGCATTGTAATACAGTGTATTATGTTCATTGTCTAAAAATTGCTAATTATGTCATAATTTAAGATGCTATGTGACTGTTATTTAAAATGTGGAGGGGGCCAGGGATTTAGCTCAGTGATGTCGCTGCCTGCCTTGCAAGCACAAGGACCCAAATTCGATCCCTGGTACCAAAAAATTGTTTTAAAAAATATGAGTTTATTGGAAAATTTTGCCGGGTGTGGTGGCACATGCCTGTAATCCCAGCACTCGGGCGGCTGAGACAGGAAGATCTCTGTGAGTTCAAGACCATCCTGAGCAACACAGTAAGTTCCAGGTCAGTCTGAACTACATACTGAGACCCTGTCTCAAAAAACCAAAACAATAAAATGTGGAAAAAGAAGGCCTTTATTCCAATTTTACTTGTGAACTTTTTTATCATACATTGAAATGCATTACTTCTGCGTACTGATATTAACTGTTACTAAAAACTTAAGTATCAGGACCCTTAAGATTCATACCCTCGTGACAGTGTGGTTCTGAGGATCCTAACCAAAGGTTGATGTGGAAAATGGATGTGTATTGGTTTACCTTACTCAATTTCAGATCAAAGGCCAGAAGAAGGAGCAGCTCAGGTACTTCAAATATAGAGCATAAATGGAGCACAAACTGGACCAAAGGTAAAAATGGGTATTTTGCCAGTGTCCAGTTTAAAGCAACAAATGCTGCTTAAGCGTTGTAACTTTGATCCAAATATTGTACCAGAAACCAGGGGTGTAAAAAAGAAACATGTCCTTGTTCTTTAGTTCACATTCCAGCTTAGTCCTCGTTCCCTAGTCATGCACTTTTCTTTAAAACCCTCATGTGTACTGGGAAATATTTTTTAAGGTTTCTTTAAAGCTGTGGAGATAAAGGCTTGAACTAAAATACTAAGGTCTCTGACTTTGGCTGATGTTTTTTGTGTTCAGTTAGAGAAATTTCTCATTTTCTGGTTAGAGTTCTTAAGTAGAATTTTCTTATTTAACCTGTTTGAAGTGGGTTCCTCCCATTGTTACTTTTACAAATTTATTGTAAAATTATATTTTTCATAGGTTGTATACAGTGTTTAACTTTTGGTAGCAAATATTTGTCTTTTTACTACTACCAGTATACGTATAAGAACAATAGCTTATTAAAGACCTCATTAAAAAGTACTGCTTTTGTTGAATTTTTTAAATCTGGGATTTTTCCCCCTTCTAATACTGATCAGTCATTTTAGCATCAGTGAGATAGAATTTGGAGATTGTCTTTTCATCTCAGTCTGTCCAGGTATTTCAAGAACATAAATGCCAAAGCTGGGCGTGGCAGCGCACTCCTGTAATCCTAGCACTTTGGAGCCTGAGGCAGGAGCATTGCTGTGAGTTTGAGACCAGCCTGGGCTACATAGTTCCAGGTCAGTTTCAACTACATTGTGAGACCCTGTCTCAAACTAAACAAAATATAAATCCCTAAATTGTCCTCCATTGTGAAAAAATATTTTGAAGTTTGACATAGTAGCTGGTTTTGTCACGTAGTTAAGGAAATTTTTTTTGGTTTTTTTTGTTTGTTTTTTTTTTGGTACCGGGGATCAAACCAAGTGTGCTTGGGCTTGCAATGCAAGTAGCAGAACATTGAGCTAAATCCCCGGCCCCCATTTTGGTCCTTTTAAAAGATGAGCTGTCCCTTTTTACCCCTGGCCTCAAATGATCTTTGACTCCTCTGTAACTGAGACTATAGACCGGTGCCAGCTCTTGATTTTTCTTTTTTGACACCACTAGCAGTCAAACCTGGCTACATAACCTCTTACTATTTTACATTTTTGCGCGTGTTGGTAGATTATAAAAGCATATTACTATAAATACAGTATCAAAGAGTTTTGTTGTTATTCCCAGTAACCCCCTTCTCTGTGACCAGTGTGGAATTTTTCTCCCCCCTTGCCAAGTTAACCCTGGATGTATGGAACTAACTTTGTGACTCTTGGATCCCTGCGTGAGGTATATGCTGGTAAAATTATATTCAAACAAGCATGGTCAAAGCAGCCAAGTTTGGGTGGTTCGTTTCCATTAAGTTTATTGGTACTTTTTAGGAAAACAGTAGTTACATTCATCATTGGGATCTCGTACCTTTACATAACAGATCTTGGTTCTTATTTTGTTCCCATCCTCCTGCCCTGCCTTCACCCCCTTCACCCTTCCCTATTTACAAAGACTTTGTTTCCATAAAAGTTTTATTAATTTTTTGTTTTTTTGAAACGGTCTCACTATGTAGTTCAGACTGACGTGGAACTCAACTAGGTAGCCCAGGCTGGTCTTGAATTCACAGCATTACTCCTGCCTCAGCCTCCTGAGTGCTAGGATTGCAGGTGTGTGCCGCCCACCACGCACAGCAAAAAAGTTTTATTATTTAATATAGTCTATAAATTCTGAGAGCTATACTAGGAAGCAACAGTAACAGGTATGTGTGTATTAAGTAATATCACTGCTCATAGGTACAGCATACATACTTGCAGTAATTAGAGTTTGATTCTTGGTGTCGTACCAATATTATACTGACAATTGCTGTGTTTTTATAGATGTTTTTAAAGATTGGCAGAGGAAATATTGCTATCCTACCTTTTTTTTCCCAAGGTATTCATAGCTCATAGCCATTTATTTCAAATAACATTTTGTCAAGTTGTCTCCCTTTTCCAAAAAAACAAAAATAATTCCTTATGCTTTTGTAGTGTTGTATTTATACTTTCCTAATATTTGAGTTGCTAGCAAGTACCATCTTTCTGACATTCTCCTCAATGTGTTTTTATGTACTTGGTTCTTTTAAGTCCAGCTGAAGTCTTGTAGGGGCTGGGGAGGTAGTGCACTTGTCAAGCCTGTGTGAGGCAATCCCTGCTTTCAATCCCCAGCACTGCAATTAAAAAAAAAAAGAAACTTTTCATCATACAGACTATAACCATTTCTGCTTTATTCCCAGAATATAAACAGTTCCTGATACATCGTAAGCATTTGATCTGTTGTACAGATGTCATTTTTCATCTAAGTCATAGGTCAAGTAATTTCATAATGGTAAAGGTGTGGGAAAAACTGGTTACCTTGTAGAAGGTTAAAAGCTTTCTGGGCAAATAGAGACTGCCCATCCTGGTTAGCCTCCAGGACAGCAAAGATCTTGAAGCATTCATATGCAAACCAGCTAATCTCTGGTCTACAGGGCTGCCTTCTACCTAATCTAATACTGTACATACAAACCAACAGCTTTACCTAAGAAGGCCTGGTTCTAAGACTCCCCTCCAAGGGTACCAAAATCCTCAAATGCTCAAACCCTTATGTAAAATGCCATAATGTTTGCCTATGTCCTGTACATACTTTTAAATTATATTATACAATGTAAATATTATGTAAACAATGGTTACACTGTATTCTTCAGGGAAAAATGACAAGTATATATGTTCAGTACAGATTTTTTTTCTGAATATTTTTGATCTGTGGTTGGTTGGATCTGCAGATGCATATCGTACAGGTACACATGGCCAGCTGTGTCATTTGTCCTAAATTATCTCACAGCCAAGTACCAGGTAAATAAAGCCCAACCCATTGCACAAAGCCTGCCAAAACTTCAAACTAGGCAATCCTGAACTATTCACTCTTCGGTGCCCAAATTTCTCTCAGACCCTTCAAGGCTCAGGCTAGACTCCCCTCCATGACACCTACCATCTTGCCTTCTGTCACCTGATCAAAACCTGGTGCTTACCCTGTGGCCCCGTGTGGCATGTCCTGACCTCTTGTCTGCAACCTGAGAATATAGTAAGTTTCCAAGCCTCATTTTTACTTCCTCTCGTGGACTTTGCCATACCATATCCAACATTTACATTCTGTTTTTTAATTTTAAGGGTTTATTGTATTGCACTAAAGGTACAGCAAGGTGGTTATAGAGTTTCTCTCTTCAGTTTTGAAAATCTACTTGCAAATCCTTAATCCTTTTACCACAAGATTATAATGGTAAGCATATATAACTAGATTCTTACAAATAAAAACATTTAAAGTAACTTTAAATGCATTCTTCACAAATCAGCATATACTTTTATATCATGTTCACTTGTGCTTAAGAATTAAAGCAAGTGAGGGGAGGGGATTTAGCTCAGCATTTCAGTGGCCTGACTTGCAAGCACAAGGACCTGAGTTCAATCCCTGGCACCAAAAAAAAAAAAAAAAAAAAGAATTAAAGCAAGTGGGCTGGGATGTAACTGAGTGGTACCATGCCTGCCTAGGAAATGCAAGGTCTGGATTTTGATCTCAAGGAAAAAAAAAAAAACAGAATTAAAGCAAGTACATTACTCTGATGGAAATGGGAAATCTCAATCATGCATTATGCAGGGATAATATTCAAGTCAAAGGAGGAAATCTTACTCATTTTTGTAAGTGTATAGTGATAAAATCATCTGTCTGTATGATAAATGAGGAAATCTATTGTTTCCTAGAAATCAGATACACATTTTCACTTCATCAGAAGTACTTGGTTATCTACATCTAATTACTGGTAAGATGGTATTTCAGTAAATCAAAATGAACCGTACAGCTTCCCATAAAAGCTTCCCATGGACTAAGGACAGTCGGTAAATAGTGGCTTATGGGAAGGATTGTGGTTGTTCCTTCAGGAGTGCAAGTTCCACCTGTCAACACTAGAGATAGCCATTTTATATTAATTTATACATAATTCCACTTACATTCTTTATCCAAGTGTAACATAGGAAAACTATCTTTCCAGAAGCAAAAAATGTAGAAAAATAAGAGTCATTTTTAAAGGAATTGATCAGATCCCATACACTGCTCCTAGGAACAGGACCTTGCTGGATGGAGTCCTTTTCTGTGGTGGCCTCTGTACGTGATTAACCAGATAATTGTGTATGCTGTTCTAAGAGCTCAGCCAAACATAGATCATGCCATACAGGTAGTAAAAAAAATGGGAAGAGGTAAAAGGCTAGTTGGCACCATCCTTCCTGACAATATGCTAGGAAGTCTGTGTTCATGCTGGTTGTGAGGTCGTAGAGTCCTGGTCTGCTATCACCAGTCTACTCATGTACGACCGGACATGGTATGCCAAGAGGGGCATACTGAGACCCAGTGTGAGCTACTCTACAGCACGAAGAAAAATGACAGAAGAGAGCATGGACGAGGCACTCGGGGAGGACCCGAGGATTCCGGGTATTACACTGGTCTGTAGGATTCTTGGAATCAGTCTTCAGCTCATCAGATACTGTGATGTGCCGGAGGGCAAAGAAGATGAGAACGGAAGTAGGCAGGAGCACCAGCGTGTAGCAGAAGGCCAGGAATGTGAATTCAGAATCTGATTCATGAATATACATGAAAGAATATTATCAATCCACATAATCTTAAAGGGCATTATTAAACATTTTTAATTAAAAAGTTTGCATAGATTGAATTCTTGGGCTATAATACTTACATAGTATATTATTGGAATGTAATATTCCTCTTTGGGGATGGCCTGAGACAGGGGCTCACTATGTGGTTCAGGCTGGCAGGCATGGGAGTGCGGTGCATGAAGCCGTGAGCCTGAATCCGTGCAGCAGTGGACACCCTAGGGAGTCAGAGATGCCGAGAATAGAAAACACTGGCTGAGCAAAATGGCAAGCAGTGACCTAGCCACCTGAGAGGGACATCATAGCAACCACCTGCAATGCCCGGGGAACAGGGCCACCCAAGTCATGTGGCGTTCACATCACTACCTCCAGTGCTGGACATGAACCTACAGGACTTCACATTTGCCTTGCTTGAATTTGGTTATGCTTTGGTCCCTGTGTCTTCTAACCCCCCCACTTCCATTGCCCCCTTTGGGGATGGCAGTGTTTACGTTTGCCAGTGTGTATTGGAAGTGTTTACCTTCTTTTCTCTCCTTTCTGCAAGGGCTCAGGGATAAAAGTTTTCCTTAAGGCTCAGAGGATACTTTGGACTTGAACTTTTCAGCAATGCTGGTCATGTTAAGACTGCCAGCACCCAGACATGGAATAAATACATTTTGTGTAAAGACATGCACATGAGTCTTGGGGCCCATGGTCAAGCTGTTATGGTTCAGATCTGGGATGTCCCCCAAGAGCTTCATGTGCTCACAGGAGGGGCTCAGGGAAGACAGGGCCAGCTCAGCAGCACGTAGGTCAGGGGGACGTCACCTGTAAAGACTGACAGGCTTCAATGGAAAAATGAGAACTCTCAAACTCTGCTTGAAACAACCACTTCAAAAGGCAATTTAACAGTTTTGAAGTTCAGCATGTACCAGCCCTGTGACCCAGCAATTTCACACTGAGGTATTTTCCCCATATCCATGCAAACATCAGTACAGGAATGGTCATAGCAGCTTTGTGTTTCACGGTCAAAACTGGAAAGCACACATACAGCCCTCAGCACATGGGCACGTGAACCATCTGTGGTTCATGCGCAAGATGGCATGCGATGGATGAGCCTCTGACAAGGAACAGCACGCACGAACACAAACATGGTTATACTGACTGAATAAACTGTACCGAAAAATAAAACCAAGTAAAACCAAGACAACACTAAATGCTGCAAGC